TTTTTTTTAGTACCCTCAGAAAAAGTTCGTTGTGAATCAATGCTACATCAATAAACTGAACTGATCACTGTATGCAGATTGAGTCAGAAACATCCAATGGTGAGAAGAACCTGAATGACGCCATGGTCCGCCTGGACACTTTAGAACAAGAGATCAACACCCTGAAGACCAAACATGCCAGCAACAGCATGGCAACAGCTCGAGCCGAAGAAACGGCCACCATGGCACGAGACAAGGCGAACGAAGCCAAACAGGTTTGTGACTCATGATTAGCATCATTAAACGCAGACGCACGGGATAAAGATGTTCTTTCTGTCTCTGTGTTCAGATTTTAGACGGACAGCTGAGAGATAAATACAACGAGGTGCAGCAGCGAGTTGACAGCAAAGCCAAGGCTGTGGTGGATGCCAAGAAAAGGGCTGAGAGTCTAAGAGAAGAGGCAAAGGAGCTGCTGAAAGACGCCCAAAACAAGCTAAAGAGACTAGCAGGTAGAGTGAAAACACAGGTGTTGTGCTTGTATTCATGTGTGCAGAGGAACAAAATAGATAAATGTTACAAAACTTGTTACTTTTAGCTTAAAGCTACCATTCTGCTACTTTAGCTAGCCTTTTCCCACTTTTAAGCTTATAAAAACCCCTAGAGATGACTATAACTTTGTGAGAAACAGTTCAGCAAAAAGAAAGTTCAAAATTAATGAAACATGTAACTAAAAGATCAGTCATTAGCCTCATTCTGTCAGTTTTAAAACGCCTAACCCTTTAAAAAGTAGTCAGAAAATTCACATTTTTAGAACGGACATGTTTATTGGGCCTTTAAACAAAACCCAAAAAAAAWTTTTTTGTCACATCACTTTGTTTATGATATATTTTTTGAATCAAATCTGATACACTGGGCTGTTTTGGTAACATTTTCCTCACAACAAAGTTAAATTAAGAAACAAAAAAAAAACAGTTTTGCCCATAACTTTTAACAAGTTTAGAACACTCTAGAAAGTTTACTTCTTTATGTTTTTTTTTTACAATGAACTTTTTACAGCCATTTATTTCACTTGGTGGTAGGCACAAATATTTCTGTCCTTGTTCAGGCACAGATGTAGCTTACACTTTATAAAAAATTGTCATCTATTATCATAGTAATGACATTTTCTTACTTTCATTCTTCTCTCTTCTTCCTCAATTTTCTTCGACATCTAACAYGTAAATAATTAGTCATTACAGCGTAGAGATTATAATTTCAAAGGAAACCACTTTGAAAATAGACAAAACGTGTTTTCAAATGGCATTTCAGTAATTAATCAATCATCCAAAATAGTGTGTGTTGTATTGTGGCAAGAATACTGTTGATTAAATTACTAAAATATCACATACTGGAGCAACTTATATACCTGCAGTATCAAGTTTGATACACACATTTTTAACACGGTTTAACTCTACTGTTAAAAATATTTTTAAGTAATTATACATTGTTTCAACACAGAAAGTATTTATTTAAAAAAAATTACAAACAATATTGATGTTATTCTTACTATAACTTCTCCAAAATTAGCAAAAGTTTTCCTGAAAAAACGTGTGGATGACCTCAATTT